GGGGGTGTGTTGGGGGCCTCTGGGTGGTTCCGGAGGCCTCTCGGAGGTCTCTGGAAGTCTCCTGCTCCCGCTCTTGGGCCCATCTTGGGCCTGTTCTGGGGTGGTCTGGGGCTGTCCTGGTCGCCTCTTCGGCAGTCTTGGAGCCTTCTTGGCCCGTCTTGGGGCCGTCCTGAGGGTCTCCTGGGTGATCTTGGGGCGGTCTGGGGGCCTCTTGGGCGCTCTTGGACCATTGGAAGCTCGAAAACGCGAGAAGCCAAAAACATTGAAAGAACATCGACGATCTTGGCCTCTTCGGGCCGTCCCCGGACGCCTCTCGGACCTCGAGAGCCGTCGGAAGGCTATCTTGGGCTGCTTGGGAGCGTCTTGGACCACTGGGGGAGCGGTACCGGGAGCGTTCCCGAGATGTCATGTCACGGGGAGGTGTGTGACCCGGGGCCGGGGGGGTGGTATTTGATTAATTCTCTCTCTCTCTCTCTCTCTCTCTATATATATACATATATATATGTGTGTATGTGTGTATGTGTGTGCGCGTTTGTGTGTCTTTATGCGCATCTGTGTGTACATTGATATACGTATATGTATATATATATATACACACTTTCCCAACCAATGTTTGCAGTAAGCGCCTCCCCTTCCTTGGTTGACTTGGATTTCGGCTCATGGGCCTGCGTTTCGGGCGTTTCGGCTGGTGCGCGCCGGTGGCCCTGGGCGGAAGGAGGAGGAGGAAGAGGAGGGAGAAGGAGAGTAGGAGGAAAAGGGTGATGATGACGATGATGAGGAGGAGGAGGAGGAGGCGGAGGAGGAACAGGAGAGAGAATGAGAAGAGAAGCGCAGCGGCGCTTGCTCGCCCTAGACCAGCCAGCGCGTGTGCGACTTGAAACAAGCTCGCGTGAGCGGAATGCCCCCCAACGATCGTGCAGGTGCATGCCTTCAAGCTTGTAGGGTAAGGACAGGCTGGCGACGGCTATCTGATAGGACTTCCTGTCCGCCCTGAATCATAATCCTCATCCTCCTCCTCCATTCCGTCACTCTCCTCATCCCTCATCGCTTCTCTGCCCTTCTCCATGTTTGCACGTGGAACCACATACTTGCGATACACAAGCTGAGTGGCTGAGCCAGCCTCTGCAAATCCGCCGACTCCGTCAGCAACACCTGGCGTCGTGCAAAGACCAATGGATTCGATCATTCCCGTTACCCTGGAGCGCGAAGATGCTGTACCACTCGCGCACAGATCGTCCACACCGACCGCGCTCGTGCCAATAACATACGTGCTGCCATGCTACGCTGGACGGAACAGCTGCGCCTCCCTCTCGGTGGCCACGTCCCTTACGTCGGCTGAAGAGGGTCCCAGTGTGCCAACTGCGCTTCAGGCGGGAACGGCTGGTCCAGTGCTCGTGACGTCGGGCGCAGGATGGGATGGCTCGCGCAGGCTGAAGCGAGCGACACGGCGGTGGCGTTAGATTGTTCCCAGCCATCCTGTGTTGTTGGGTCCTCGTTTTGAAGAGACGGTCCCCGCGTTCTCCTTCTCCTTCCTCCCCTCCTCCCTACTCCCTGCGTTTCACCCAACCAGTACAGCGCTTCGTGGCCCTATAGGGAGCTCCACCGAAGGCCCCAGTGCCACCGTTCACATGCGTCCCCCACGCCCATTTCGGCACACCCCTCACACGTTTCGGGGCCCCATGGGGAGCTCCACCGAAGGCCAGAGTGCCACCGTCCATTTGCGTTCCCCACACCCATGTCGACACACCTCTCACACGTTTCGTGGCCCCATCGGGAGCTCCACCGAAGGCCCCAGTGCCACGGTCCACATGCGTCCCCCGCACCCATTTCGGCACACCCCTCAGACATTTTGTGACCCCATAGGTAGCTCGACCGAAGGCCCCAGTGCCACAGTCCACATGCGCCCCCCGCACCCATTTCGGCACACCCCTCACATGTTTCGTGGCCCTATGGGGAGCTCCACCGAAGGCCCCAGTGCCACCGTCCACATGCGTCCCCCATACCCATTTCGGCACACCCCTCACACGTTTCGTGGCCCCAAAAGTGAGCTCCACCGAGGGCCCCAGTGCCACCGTCCACATGCATCCCCCACACTCATTTCGGCACACCCCTCACGCGTTTCGGGCCCCATAGGGAGCTCCACCGAAGGCCCCAGTGCCACCGTCCACATGCGTCCCCCACACCCATGTCGCCACACCTCTCACACGTTTCGTGGCCCCATCGGGAGCTCCACCGAAGGCCCGAGTGCCACCGTCCACACGCGTCCCCCATACCCATTTCGGCATACCCTAGGGAGCACCACCGAAGAAGAGATTCACAATGTCCGCACGAACAATTGCAAATGGTTGGGTCATTCGCCAGGCGGATTTTTTTCTTCGGCTGCGGACCCTCAGAGGTGCCGCTGACAAACTCCATCTACAAAGCTGGCCACCACGAAATGCGGAGGCTGGATGAACCAGGGGCTCCAGTTGTATACAAGCATATGCAGCCAATCCAGGGCTCCTCCAATTTTACACAGCATCTGAAAACTCCAAGTGCGCAAAGCGAGGGACAGAAAGGAAGGGAACGGACAGGAGGCGGGGAGAGGGGGCAGGAAAAGAGGATTGCTGGTGGGGAATCGGCGGCTGTCTATTGAATGCAGAGGAGCTGAGGAGCAGAATCACGGGATCGATGGTTGGTCTATCGCGGAAACGTCTCGGGCCATAGGCGACGCCACGACGGAAAAAAGGTCGCGCCGGGGTCTGGCCCTCAGGGCGAGACTGCGAAGCAAACATCTCCACTGCACCATTGGCTCACCTCTAAACTTATGTCTCTACATCTCCTCTGGGGCGCGTCTCTCACGATCCGCCAGAGCCGTTCGATGCAAGGGCCGGCGCATGCGCAGGGCGGGGAACGATCAGGGGGGGTCACTCCTGCGGGTGGCACCCCGCAGTGCCTCCGCGAAGCCCTCCGAGGCCTTTCGAGCACGCGATGCCCTGCCCATGACCCTGGGCCCCACAGACAACAGACGTGCCAGCCAGCCTTCACAGGACTAGCGCGATCCCATATCCCTTCTCCTCATCGTCCTCCTGCTCCTGTTGGCCAAATTCTCCTTCCTCATCAATCCAATACAAATATATCTCCTTGTCCTTCTATTCCTGGCTCTGCCTCTTCTTGCCCTCCTCCTGATCCTCCTCCTTCTCCCTCTTCTTCCTCCTCCTCCTGGCCCACCACCTCCTCCGCCAAGTCCTCCTCCTCCTTCTCCTCTTCCTCCTCATTCTAGCCTCCTCCTCCTCCTCCTCCTCCCTCGCTCCCTCCCTCCGTCCCTCCCTCCCTCACTCCCTTCCTGGAGGGAGGGAGTGAGGGAGCGAAGAGGGAAGGAGTACAGGATGAGGAGGAGGACTCAGTGGAGGAGGTGAAAGAGAAGGAAGAGGAGGAGGATGAGGAGGAAAAGGAGGAGGAGGAGGAGGAGGAGGAAGGAGGAGGAAAAGCGGAGGAGGAGGAGGAGGA